CCCAACATTTAGTATTATTTGTTCTCTTGATCATAGCCAGTCTGACTAGGGTAAGATGAAATCTTAAAATGGTTTTAATTTGCATTTCCCTAATTACTAGTGATGTTGAACACCTTTTAAGATGCTTCTTAGCCATCTTTATTTCTTCTTTTGAGAACTCCCTGTTCAGTTCCTTAGCCCATCTTTTAATTGGGTTACTTCCTTTCTTGATTCTTTGTTTTTTTGAGTTTGTCATATGCTCTGGATGTTAAACCTCTATCAGATGTGTTGCTGGTGAAGATTTTAAATCTCCCATTCTGTGGGTTTTCTCCTACACCTACATTTTGTAGGTTATTGCCAATGTTTTCTTCTAATGGTTTCAGAGTTTCAGGCTTCACATTGAGGTCTTTGATCCATTTGGAGTTGACTTTTGTGGAAGGTGAAAGATAGTGGTTCATTTTCATTCTTCTACAGGTGGAGATTCAGTTTTGCCAGCACCATTTGGTGAAGCTGCTGTCTTTTCTCCATTCTGTATTCTTGGCACCTTTGTCAAATAACAGGTGGCTGAAATTGCATGCAGTTGTGTGTGGGTCTTCTGTTGTGTTTTATTTATTCATGTGTCTATTTCCGTGTAGGCACCTTACTGTTTTTATGACTACAACTCTTTCATATAATCTGAGATCTGGTATGGTGAACCCCACGGCATTGGTTTTTTGGCCCAAGATTTTTTTGGCTATCTGAGGGCTTTTGTGACTCCTATGAAGCCAGTTCCTCTCTAATACCAAAGATACAGCAAACAAGAAAACTAAAGGCTCACATAGATACAATGATACTCAACAAAATACTTGCAAATCACGTAGAGACACACATTAAAAAGATCATCCACCATGATCAGGTCAGTTCAATTCCAGAGATGAAGGGATAGTTCTATATATGTAAGTCAATAAATTTAATAAAACAAAACTTCCATTCACAATGACCTCAAAAAATTTAGGAATAAACCTAAACAAAGACACTAAATATATCTACAATGAAAATTTTTAATTTTTAGAGAAAGTGATAGGAGGAAGAAACTAGAACATGGAAAGACCTATCATACTCTTGGATTGACAGAATTAATATTGTGAAAATGATCAAGTTACCCAAAGCAAGCTATAGAGTCAATGCAATGCCAAATAAACACTCACGACTGGAGATAGTGGACAGCCTTGTCTGGTTCCTGATTTCAATGGGAATGCTTCCAGTTTTTCTCCATTTAGAATGATGTTGGCTCTTGGTTTGTTGCATATGGCTTTAATTTTGTTGAGGTATGTTCCTCTGGTCCAATTCCCTCCAGGACTTTGAACATAAATGCATGTTGAATTTTGTCAAAGGCCTTCTCTGCATCTATTGAGATGACCATGTGGTTCTTGT